TTATCATAAATTAAAAAATAATAGTGCTGCACCCTGTTGGTAAACCTATTACCTTTTTAATGTTATTGAACATCACAGAATCAAATTGTTTGGTTGAACCAGCTGTTAAGATTCTTTTATTCCATTTAAATATGAGTACTCATAAGGTTAACATGGGAAACTCCAGAGCCACTAGGGCGGAGCCCTTTTGATGGATCTGCACCAAACTTCACACAAACCATCCTTGAATGCCTGAAAGTTAATAATGCCTGAAAGTTTCATTACAATCTGTCGTGCGGTTTCGGAGTCCATAAAGGACAAACAAACAAACAAACATACATACATTGGATTTTATATATATAGATTGTTATTTTATTTGTATTGAACTTATTTTACATTGAACTTATTTTGATAAATCTCATAGCCTCAAGATACTGCCCAATGCTGGAAGCGGACCAGGGCAGCCAACTGTTGCGACAGATGTACAGTTGTACCAACATCGACCCTCGAGTCAAGGACATTTGTGCAGACATTCTCAGTTTACTGAGGTAAATCTAAAAAAAAACTAAATCTGTTTTCTTGTGTAATATTGTAGAAAATTATTTTTATTTTTTTGCAATTTATTAAACAGTTAAGTATTAATAGGAGACGTTGACATTTTCTACTATACTATTTTGCTTTTGTCCATCTACCAAACAATCACTCTCTTGGTAAAACTACAAAAGAATAGTTATTTGTGCAACTAGTGAGAAAAGTGAGCAATTGACTCACTCGAGAGAAATCCTTACTCACGAGCCGTAGGCGAGTGAGGAATGGTTTCTCGAGTGAGGCAATTGTACTTTGAACTCGAGTTGCACATTATACTTTTCCTACAGTTACCATAAAACAAAAACATTTGTGAAGAAACATGAACAAACATAACCTATTTTTACACAGAAGTGAACTTTTAATATCACATTTAATGTGAAGTGACAAATACAACAGTACAACAGCTGACCAGCTGATTTACAGCCAGTGCTGCCAACGTATTTCGCGCGCATACGACGTTGCCTGCATGTTACGCGCTCACTATTTCGTGCCTTCACGTTGCAAATCTGGAGTGAGACAAAGTAATTAGAGTGAGACAATGTTAACATTGTCTCACTGGTGAGCGAATTGGCCACTTTGCTTTCTCAAATCAGTGAGAGAACATGTACATTGTTAGGTAACTGTAGGAAAATACTATATCCTGACAACTTAAAAAATAGACTTTATATAATATTTTAATATTTCAGTAAGTTACTGCATTTAAATGATGCGTTAAACTGTTTCAGGCATAACAGTGGAACAACCGTCTGTGAAAGCTCACCATGACAGAAACACCAAAGTGAACCTAACCTAAAAGCTGACCATATAAATATTTCATAGATTATGTTATTGTAAAAATCTGACTATATGAAATCATCTTTACAAATTATTTATTTTGTATGTAGTTGTATATTATTGTTATTTTTTGTGTATATCTATATATAAAAGTTGTACAATTATTAATGATTGTGTTTTTTCCATCGTGTTGATTAAAATAAGATGGCCATTAATATTTATTGCCATAACCTTTATTACTGGTTGTGAACCTTTCCTTTACCGTTATTCTATTTTTTCACCTTTAACAATAAGCGTCATTACTGTACAACTGCTCTTGCAACTACTGTACCTACATAAATTGTCTATTGGTTTAATTTCATTGGTCAATTAGAGGTGGCTATGGTTAAATTCAAGCGTTGAAAGGAATGGGAAACACTGGAACAGTTGATCTTAGTCTTAGTATCATTAAGTGTTGCCAACTAATTTCAAGCGTACACGTCTTACGTGCCTAATAAAAGCACAGTGTTTTGTGTTGTTTGGTTGGAATACTGGAGTGCGGCAAAAGTAAGTAAATGCAGCAATTAGCTACTTTGCGTGCTAAAATTAGTACAAGAAAATCTGCTTTGTCAGGTAACAGTAGGACAAATATTTTGCGTAGCTCTATATATTTAGTGTATGTCTCTATGCTGTTTGGTCTCTACACTATTATAATCTTATATTTTTTTACATATCTGCAATCCAATACAATACAATATTGGCTGGGTATGTCCAGCTTTTGCTGTGCGAGCCAAGTAACATATTTGGAATAGTAAAAATATTACTCGCTACGGTACCTATTAAACTTTGCACGTTACAAGTTGAACTTTCTTAACGAACCTCACGATGGTGTTACCGTGTATAACAAGTAACCTGAAGTCTATTAAACCTGTTAGGACCTATAGACTCGTACACTAAACGAGTTTTTATCACCTATCATCATGCAGTTCTAAAAGTAACAATTGTGGTACATATGTTTCGGCGAGATGCCATCGTCAGACACTTCAGTCCAGGGAATTGAATCCGCTTGATTAGCTTTGTTGATGTGTAAATACAGACACACATTCAAAAAACAACACATACAGATACAACACAAGCAGGAACAGACTGTCGGAGGGTTCAAGTCATAGCGCTGTCTGGCCGAGAGGATTTGTGATATGGACTTTGATGGGAGAGAGACGAGGTTGATCTCTGGCATATCCAATAGCAAAAAGTTATTGTTTTTGGACTCATTTGAAGAGTTAATGACTTTCTTCACTATAATAATGCCACTGCTTGGACAAAGAAAAAATTATCATATAATCATCAGCTAACGAGGTTTAATTTTGCCCAATTAAGTAAACTACAGTTGCATCAAAATTGTATTACTAAATATACTTTGTGGAGAGTACTCATTAAATGACTCAGGAACAGTCCATATACTGCTACCAATATAGGTAGTACCTACCAATATAGGTACATGAGGATTCTGTGAGGAGTTACAGGTGCTTTTAACAAAAAAGTATAGGAAAGAGGATTGTTTTGACTTAACACCACTATCAATTAAAAAATGCAGCATTGTGCGTAAGCGCCTATCGAATATGGCTTAGAGTCTTCCTTCAGCATGAGCGTTTTAATACCTAATGAAGATGGCATTACGTAAAAGAATAATTGTGAGGGGGCCAAGAGAAGCGAAGGCGTTGGTCTTTGCCCTAGATACCAGATACTACACCTTTTCTAATTCTATTTCAGAACGTGTCAAGTCTATTTCAGAAAGCATCAATTGTATTTCAGAATTATCATTTTCATTTCAGAAAGTATCATTTGCATTCCAGACTAGTAACTTTTATATCAGAAAACATCAATTGAATTTCAGAAGTAGTCATATGTATTTCAGAAATTGTCACATATATTTCAGGATTAGTCAAATGTATTTCAGACAAAGTCAATTGTATTTCAGAAATGATCGATTAGACAATTTTACACAGTCGTAGCGGATCTGATTCAAATTAAATTTATAAGAAGCCCAGGGTTAAGTTTAGGTTAATTAAGTTAGCCTAGAAAAGTTTATCACGTTTTTTTCCTGATTTGACCAGGGCCTAATGAGATATTTTTCCGAGTTGAATCTCATCCTATGATATAAAAATTATACTAACTAAAGGTTTTTTCTCATAACAAATTCATAGCTAATTCCTAATGCTGATGACAAAGTTGTTAACACAAATTATTTCTGAAATACAATTGATATATTCTGAAATGCAAATAATCATTTATGGAATATAAATTACCATTTCTGAAATAAAAGTGATGATTTCTAAAATTAAAATTACTATTCTGAAATACAGTTGACACTTTCTAAAATTAAAATCTTACATCTGAAATACAAATTGCCATTTCTGAAATACAAATGACTATTCTGAAATACAATTGACCCTTTCTGAAATTAAAGTGGAAAAGGTGTAGTGCTAGACACCACTTAAGTGCGCCTGCGCCATTGAATTTCCTCCAGTACCTTATTTATCTTTGGTGTAGATATGATATACCATATTGATAATAAAAATTAATTGCATAATTTGGATAATTACTACTGTGGAAATCAATACTAAAGTAGGTCAATTCTTATAGAGGGGTTGTAGTGCTACATTGAAAAATCTGGCATAGCTGACATTGATTATCGCCATTATCGGGATTTTAATAAAGTCCTGGTTGGATCAAATGGAGCCGTTCTCGTTCACACGAGCGTAGGGCGACGACTAGCTAGCCGCGTTCGAGCTTGGTGTCCCAAAACATGTCGGGCCCCACTTCCCAATCACTCATGGCAGCTACCCAGTCATCCGCTCTAGTGGCGTAGCAGTACACGTAGCCTTATGGGAGCGTTCAAACGAGCGATCAGGTAGTCGCGCTGCAGCTCGCATCCTTCCCTTTGTTCTCATTGTCCACCAGTGATGGATCCGAGTGGTTTTGATATCAAAATTGTCATCTAATCCGTGGACATGTCGCTTGTGTGAGCCGGTATATCTTGTGGTCCGCTAACCAAGCAGTCGGGCTTACCTAGTCGTCAGCTAGATAAGTCGCTCTTGTGAACCGGGCCTAAAAGACAATAACAAGCTGTAATAAAGCTACTCAAAGCATTTTCACTAGCCCACACCTTTTTCACTCATGTTTGGGTTAAAATTCACCATAAGGGTGCACACCTGTCTTAAATAGTAACCATTGACTAAAGACATTCCAAATAGAAAATAGAGATCCTATAACGAATCAAATAGTATTTTAAAAACACAACTAGGATTCTGAAAAGATGGGCACAATTGGTTATACATCTATATATAATCATAATCAATGATGGGTACGTTGCCCCCGCCATTTATCAGTAAGTTAATCAGCTGACTAAGGACTGCCGACACTGATAGACCAAAAGACCAAACACAACCCTCATGTATTCGTGATTGTATTGTAATAATGTAAACGAAATCTAAGCAGCAGAGAAGTGTAGTGTAATAGATTGTTTTGGTTAACTAACAGGTGTACAATACAAAACAAAACAATCTAACACCTGCTCTTGCTGAGCTGAGTCGCTGAGTTGAGTTTTATAAGTTGTTGTTTTGTTATTGTGTTTGTGTTAGTTGGATTGGATTGATTAGTCAGGTCAGGTGAATGGCGGTGCTTCAAAATTTAGTTTTGTGGAACATTTTGTTATTTATATTCTTTATAAGTAAACCATCTATCAATGGTCAAATGAATGATGTGTTGGAACTGAAAAATAGCACTATTGTAATTTCAATTCTCGTCAGGAATAAAGCACATACACTCCCATACTTTTTAACATGTCTGGAGAGGTTAGATTATCCAAAAGATCGGATAATGCTGTGGTGAGAAGTTAAAGCTTTGTTATTTTAGCTTTAAACATACATTATTATAGCCTAATTCAGGAGTCTTTGACAATTATTATTTTTTAAATTTCCTTCGGCTATGAATTAGTTTTAAATATTACCTAAGGCCTAGGCCTACTAACTTAGCCTTTATGTTCATAATTTCTTCCGATTGATTTAGATACTTAGTTAATAAGTTAGGTTTACATACTTAAACGTACCTTATTAACGGTTCTTCACCTTTACCCCATGGGGGATTGATGGCGTCAATATATATAGCCTAAGTAATATATAAAAGGCCTAGTCTCAGACGACTAGTGTCGGTACATTAAACTTCCAGTTCAAGCGAATACAGGAAACTGACATTAAAACAAGTAGGCCTAGGCCTAACTTAAGTATGTGGCCGGCCATAACACACAATCACAGGTCTAGCCAATGCACCCACTCTACTTAAATCCAATATTTGGTGTAGACCTAGACCTACCTGAGACTACTATAGAATTGACAAACCTTAAGGAACGTTAACTTACCTATTTATTACAACCCTAGCCTACTGTAGAAGTACCGAAAACCGAATAGGCCTAGGCCTACTCGGTACTCAATCTCACAGTTTATGCTGTTGCTCAGTGGACCTATTTTAAATATATGCCTAGGCCTACTGAGATTTTGCAAGTTAGGAGTGTGCAAGTGTTCAAGCCAGTGGCCAATTTTCACCCTATTTCTTTGTGTTTTATTTTGTGTACCATAAATTCTAGAATGACTTATCCAAAATTATACACTAGGCCTATAAGAAAGACAGATGATAAAAGTTCCATGTGGTAAGTTAATTATTTCTTCACTGGAAAGACAACTTAATTGTGCATAGGTTAGTAAGATTTGTAAGGCCAGTTTAAAACATTAGTGGGCTAATTAAGGGGACTCCACGCTGATTTAGAAGTTAAAAAAGACAAAATTAAAAAAAATATCCCGATCAGCTTGGATAAATTCTTTTATTATGCTTATAGCTAACTGGCTTTGAGTTGCCTACTCATCGCCCACTGAACTAACCCAACATAACCGACTACATTGATCTCTTTCTTTAGGATTCGGAGTGATCATAATGAGGACAACTCAGTGGAGATCCTACAGCGTTGGTTGAGTGTTTGGTCCAGTCATTACCATGCTGTAGATGTGGAGGTGGTACCCTCGCCTCCCTACCACCCCGGGGAGGACGGTCCTGCGCACTGGCCACACGCACGCTACTCTCACCTCATCAATCTACGTGAACAAGCTCTCAAGTTCAGTCGAGATGTGTGGGCGGACTATGTCTGGGTAGGATATGTGCAGACTATTGTAAGCCTACTTTTTGCTCAGTAGAGTCTTTATAATCAGTTGGAGGTCTTATAGCTTTAGTTCAGTATAGATAATACTTACATTGCCATAAGTTTTTCTTATAGCCTACTATTTAGGCTCTACTGATGACGCATGATTTAGGCCTAGTGGTGAGTCAAAATGAAATGATAATTTCATTTATTTCATAACTTAATGTGACATAATAAAATAATTGAAGTTAAAAATAATGTGGGGGCTATCCAAAAGGTCAATTACGTTTTTATATCTACCCTGAGGGGTAGGTAAAGTTAGCGCAGCTGTGTAGTCCATTTGTGTTATTTAAGCAGTGCTCCAATATCTTATTTACTATCAAGTAGGGGTTGTTTCAGGTTTTCCATTTTGTTTCAGTTTCTAGACTGTGATGTGTTTGTGACAAACCCTCAAACACTTGCTGAGCTTGTGAAGAAGCACCATGCTGTCACTGCTCCGATGTTGCGTTCCGACGGGCTCTACTCTAACTTCTGGTGTGGGATGACTGAAGACTATTACTACACTCGAACTGAAGTAAGATGTCATTTATTAATCATTACTCTGATACCGCAGCAGCAAACCTGCAGACTAAGCTAATTTTATTTTGTCTGATTGGATTTTTTCTAGAATATTTCCATAAACGAGACATATTTATTCCCAATTTAAATAACACTAGGTATGGTTTAAGACTAGAGTAGTTCTTTTTACTTATCCACCAATAACTATTTGTGAGAATTGTTTTTTCACTCCATGTTTCTGGCCTTGAATAGTTATTTATGTCTATTAATTGCCTATGTAGCAACACTCTAAACTCTTCTAAGCCTGAAGCAATTTGAAAACAGCTCTGGCTAAAGCCTTGTGTCGTAGGATGTGAAGGTGGGACAAAAAAGGTTGAAAAGCAATTATTCAATTTGTTTTGAAGGACTATGAGCCAATACTCAACAGGCAGCGGTCAGGATGTTTTGCTGTTCCGATGGTTCACTCGTCAGTGTTGGTAGACTTGCGAACCGTACAGTCTGACAAACTACACTTTGACCCTAAGCTGGTCGACGGCTACAACGGACCACACGATGACATCATCACATTCGCTCTATCTGCTAACTTGTCAGGTAACCTCTGTGGTTCAGCTTATAAAGTTATATAGCGAGGTACATGGTTAATGTACAAGTGATTTGAATGTTGGCGTAATGTATGTAATTTTCTGTGTATGTACAATTGCAAGATTCAAATTAGTGTTTTATTTAAGCATTGCATTAAATGGTTTTATATTATCAAACTATTAAAACATTAATTGTTTCAGGAAAAAAACAATAATAAACAATTTCATTTTTGACTACTCCGAATAGCACTTCACTACTAATCCCGAAAGTGACACATTTTGGGCAAGATAGTGGTTTACAAGTGAGCACCAGAATGGAACTTTTTAAAGAAGAGTAGTGAATAATACTTTTCATCATGATTCAAATAATCACAATTGATAAAACAACAAAACACTATTTCTCTTTCCAGTTTTCTTATATAGGCCTAGGTAGTTTACAATTTCTTTAAAAGACAGGTGTCAGATATTTTCTGTGATGAAAGAATACATACACTAGCACTTCTGTTGAGCTAAACGGAAATTTATTTGTTTGGGAAAAGTAATGTAAGACAGGCAAAGACTTATGATTCAATAAAATGGAAAACAATGATTTTCGTAAAGCTCCAAGCTGTACGGATATGATCTATTTTTGTATACAGAGTGATTAAACAAACATAATACATTAAATACTCTCTCTGTGTAATAATGTTGACTGTAATGTACACATGTTATGTGTAGGTTTGCCGCTGTATGTGTGCAATGATCTGATCTACGGCTATGTCATGGTTCCACTCGAGAGGGATGACACACTTAACTACGACAAGCTGCAACTAACCAACCTGAAACTGGAGATCATGGGTAAAAATTACATTGTCATTTGTCCAACCTTGCAGTATTCACAGCTGATTTATCTGGATTTTAAGATGTTGGGTAAAAATGGTTTTAGATATGGATAGAGGACAAACAACTCAACATCTGAACTCAAGTTCTCAGATGTTTACATAGACGTAACTTCATGGTGGCACGCTTTAATAGGAATTCACATAAAACCCTTTAACTTTAACCTTCTCCAATACGTCCACTACAACAGCTTGCAAAGAACACCAATTGGTGTATACCCCGGAAGATTTTTCATCATTGTTTTTCATTTTTCAAATTGGAAAATGATAGGAAAGTGGGTAAAATGATTTAGAAATACTGCTTAAACTCTATTAAAAAAATGGGTGGGAGCTGCAAAACAGTTGGCCCACCAGCTATTGCGGAATAAGTGTGAGTCGCAGTAACTCAAAGTCGAAAAGGACCTCCAGGAAGCCTTCGTTGTTAGGAAGTTTTTCATTGGTTCTTTTCTTTCTTTGTGGGTTTTTTCTATAAGGCTACTTAAATTTCAAGGGTTTTCAAGCTAGAGATTTGCTTGAACTGTAATAAATTGGCCTGGAAAACCAAGCGATTCCACTAGATATACTGGAATGAGTATCTAATGGTTCAAGGGACTAAAGGGATGTCAAGTAATAGGCAAGTACGTCACTTGAAGGACGTTGTTTTCAAGAAATTATAAAATTACTCCATCTAATATAAGCTTTGTTATGATGTGCTATTTATATGTATGTATTTAACAGTTTACAGTTTGTATATATATGAGACAATAATTTATGCAAAACAATTTCATTTATTATCCACTGCAAGTAAATATAACACACGCTTTCAAATTAACCTTCCTAGACATAATTTAGAATTCTATACCAAAAAACCTTCATATGCAGGCTTAAAATTTCTTCAAAAATTACCGATTTCACTTAAAAAAGAAAATAATACAAACCGATTCAAAAGCCTACTAAAAGACTTGTTGATAAGAAACCCATTTTATTCCATCAAAGAATTTTTAAATTGTAATCTCGAAACGACCATTTGAATTCCAGTTACTACCTAGTTTTACTCTAACGTAACCTCCGTAATCAGGATTTTGTGATTTTTTAAAGTTATAGCACTCATTTTTAGTTTTACTATATAAATCCTTTGTGAATGATTTTAATTATTTAGTTTATAATTTTTTGTTTATGTTAGTTTAATGACGCTATTCAAGACATATTGTCTAAACTTTGTGAATAAAGAATATTTGATTGATTGATTGATTGATTGATATTTATATGTATCCTGGTTTAAAAATGTTAAATTTCTACTATATAAAGATTGTGATGTTGTCATTGTCTCACCTTTTACAAACAACCTAAAAAATACAATAACCCAAACAATTTGACAATATAAAACAATCATATGGGTTGGTTTTTGTAGTTGAAAGCCCACCACTACCAGTGAGTGAGCTACTAGCAGACTACACCAGCCTGCCGCCACGCGACACACTAGGATTGGATGAGGTGTTCATGATAAACCTGGTGCGACGACCAGAGCGGAGACACAGGATGGAACACTGCTTTGCCGAGCTCGGTCTCCGAGTAACTGTAGTAGACGCTGTGGATGGCAAGTAAGAACTGGCTTATATTGTTTTTCATCCTTTGTAAGAACACGCACAGTTGAATCCCACAAACTCTGTTTAGTGTGAAGGAGACTATTTACAACACCATAACATTAAAAACCATAAATTTGACTTGTCAAACAAAAAGATTCACATGGCAAACGCTACCAAGCTGCTAACAATGTTGTAGATAACACCGCGTAGGCTTTTCTAAAAATTGTGTCAAATTCTTTGTGCATTAACCAAGAAATCTGGTTTTTGGGTTTGGGTAGGGCGCCCGATAAAATCTTCGCAATAAATAACTCCTGTTTTATTACTAACTTTATAATTGCATTCATCACACTGCTCATCGTATATACTTCCACCCGCCACCTTGGGAACCTCTGATAGTACCGCATCTCCTAGGCTTAGCCTGAGCTATGTGAAAAACGATTCCTGGCTAGAGCCTGGCGTCCTTGAACAAAAACAAACAAACTTATAAAAACAGTTACCAGCCTACATATGCTAAAGAATATATGAATCTCAACAATGAAAACACTGCTACAGTAGACTCCCTCTTATCCGGACACCTTTAATCCGGACATCGGTTTAACCAGACAACACTCGGCGGAAATGACATCTCTTTAGCCTTAAAATTTTTATCAGCACATCGGTTTAACCGGACTAGATCGGCAGGAAGTAGGTGGTACTGAAACGACTGTTTTCATGGAAAAGATTTGAGACCAGTGATCACGTGTCGGTACTTTCCTGTTATCTGGTACCTGCGAAAAAATTCTTTCCTGTTATCTGGTACCTGCGTTTATTAATCAAACAAAAACAACAAACAATGATTACATCTGAGTTTCGGGTGGCCAGAAGTCACGAATTACTTCTAACAGTGCTTCGAAAACATCGCAATCACCGACCTGCGTTGTAAATAAGTTTGATTAATTTTCGAGAATTTTTTTCGCAGGTACCAGATAACAGGAAAGAATTGTTTCGCAGGTACCAGATAACAGGAAAGTACCCACGTGTCTAAATACAATGCTCTCCTAAATTTAAGTCAAATACGTATACAGTATTCATTTAAATGGTCCGTTTTTTTAACGAGTTTTTGGGGACGTCAGTTTAACCGGAAAAACTGTTATCCGGACTGGCCTTGGTCCCGAGGAGTCCGGATAAGAGGGAGTCTACTGTATGAGATTTTATACCATGTATTACAACAAGCAATGAATGATAGTGAATTTTGATGAATTTTGATAGGCGACCAGTGCCTCTCTGAATATTTAAACAAATATAACCTCTTTTCATACAAGGGCAGGCATACCTATGACTGTTGTAGTTGAGATGGGCCACTTTAAAAAGATATAAATTTGTTTTCTAGAGAACTGACTGATGATGATTTGAAGGAGTTGGGAGTTTCACTCATGGAAGGTTACACGGATCCTTACCATAAGAGGTGAGTTAGTTATGTTTTGATAGAAAAATAATTCACATGTCTTGGTTTAGTACGATTTTCGAACATAGTACAAAATATGTATTGAATTTGTATATTAATTTGTTTTTCTAGTAACATTTTGTGCTTCAATGAAATAAATGCCTCACTCGTTAGTCATGTAGGGAAAAATATGCTGAATTCTAATTCTAGTTACTGTAATATATTATGATTTTATTTTCCAGGCCTATGAAACGAGGGGAAATCGGTTGCTTTCTTAGTCATCATGCTATCTGGCAAAGAGTAAGTTTATCTATCTGGACATAGACATAGACATAGACTTTATTTGCACAAAACATTCCATACATGTCATAACATTTAGAATAGGTGCATTGTCAAAATTAAATCCATACATAAAATATTTAACATTAAAACTTTTAACTTAAAACCAAACACTTAAAAAAAAAATTTCTAAATTGTAGTTCTGTAAAAATCTTCAATTAAGTAAAAAGCCTTGTCAATAAGAAAATTATCTATTGTATCTTTAAATTTGGTTTTGCTTAATGACTTATAGCATGGCGGAAGCACATTGTACAATCTCAGCCCAGCGTACAATGGAGATTTTTCATATAGGGTCAAACGGTGTCTGGGGAGTCTAAATATATTTTCATTTCGGGTTTCATACCTGTGATTAAAATGTATTGTTTCTGGTAGCTCATTTTTAACTGAATGTATGTAATTTAATAATTCTAGAATATACAACCCCGTTAATGTGTGAATTCTTAAACTTTGAAAATGTTTCTTACAAGAACTGCGTGGATGAGAGTTGGTAATAATACAAATAATACGTTTTTGTAACCTGAATAAAGTTTTAATACCAGTAGCTTGACCCCATAAAATTATGCCATATCTTAACACTGACTCCACATAAGCATGATAAACTACTTTAAGTGTCTCAATAGAAACACAGTCCCTTAAATGTATGAATAAAGATGATATCGACCTAATTTTGTTACGTAAATAATTCAAATGTGAATCCCATTTAACTGCGTCATCTACGTAAACCCCTAAGAATTTATGAGCTTCAACTAAATTAAAGGAACAGTTTTCCATATTTTTGTGTCTAGTAGAAAATTTAATAATATTTGTTTTTTCAACATTAAGTTTTAACCCATTTTCTAAAAACCATTGCTCCATGTCCTTTACCACACTTTGCAGAGAAGAAAACATTTCAGCTGTATTATTATTTTTGATCAAAGCAGTAGTGTCATCGGCAAAAAGAATTAGTTCTTTATTAATAGCTTTTGGAAGGATCAGTTGCTGAAGGTCTAATTCCCGGAAGGTCTAATTAGACCTTCGACACACATTTTGCAGTTTGTACTTGTTGCTGAGGGTCTAATCTGTTAGTATGTCGAAGGTCTAATTCTCGGAAGGTCTAAGAGTACAGTCAATGCAAAAAACTTATCCACTGATACTGTTTTAGACCTTGCGGGATTAGACCTTGGGCACAAAATGTTACTTTTTTAAATAAATGTTTATAAAATGAGAGTTGCTGAAGGTCTAATTCCCGGAAGGTCTAAGGTTCGAGTCCCGGAAGGTCTAATTCCCTGAAGGTCTAAGATTCGAGTCCCTGAAGGTCTAATTCCCTGAAGGTCTAAGATTCGAGTCCCGGAAGGTCTAAGATTCGATTCCCGGAAGGTCTAAGATTCGAGTCCCGGAAGGTCTAAGATTCGAGTCCCGGAAGGTCTAAGATGCGGGCGGGCATTGCGTCGCCATAGATGAAGGCTATACAAGCAGGCAATAACGCAACAACTTGAGTTGTAATTATCGATATGTTTCATTCACTCCAAGATGGTTCACTCCAAAAAGTAATTTTACAAATTATTTGCCTGTTAGTTCACTCCACTGTTCATTCAATCCAACGGGTACAGTTAGCTCTATAAGTAGACTAACAAGTAGAGAATATAATTTTTGAATTTTACTGTACATTTTATACAATATCAACAACATGTTTTATAATTAACTAGTGTCCCTGTTGCTCGAAATCGAGCAATTGCTAAGTATTACAGGCGTTATTTTAAAACGAAAAACAGTCATATTTTTTATGACTATAAAAGATTCGACTCAAAGATTATGGAATACTCAAGATGTAGATAACAGATCGATATAATCAACATTTCTTGTAAATATGTTATCATTTTTCGAAAGCTGATTTTGTTTTTTAGTGTTTATAACACACATTATTTCTATTTCTTCCCCTTGGTGGTGTTCTATGACTTTCCTATGTTTCCATAGTTTGCAAATCGTCTCTTTCAATGATTACTAAGAAATGAAGCACAGTGTTAATTCAGTTTTCTTTTTAGTATATCAATCTATCCAGGCTCTCTCGTTTTTTCCCATCTATATAATTAATACGCTACATGAAACTTTGTCGGTTGAACTCCTCCGCCATTTCTTAACCGATTTTATCCATTGACGTCTCATTGGAAAGAGCGTGTAGCGTAGATTTGCAAACTGGCCTTACATTTTTGAAAACGTCCCTTGGGCTCTGCCCCAGTGGCTTTGAAAGTTCCCATGTTATCCTTATGAGGAACATAATTGTTTACATTTTGATCAGCTGTATAATTTAATTGTTGTTATTTATTTTTCAATTCAATGAAACGCATTGAGTACGTTTATTTACTATTTGAGTTTGTGTAAACATAACCCTCAAGACGGATCGTGTTAGTACCGTATGGTTGTATCTTAAATTTGTGTATTTATCGTTGTTTTGTGTCGCTTTAGCATGATTGTAACTTAAATTTGTGCATTTATCGTTGTTTTGTGTAGCGCATTTTTTGCTTTTGTTGTTTTTTCTTTTAAATGCCTCCGACGCGACGACAACGAAACATAGACAGGAGGCGTAATCGTGATAACGACCGCAGCTACAGAACAGTGGCGCGTAATAGGCTTAACTCATCACAGTTAGCACCTTGACCTGACGCTGGACAATGTCAACTATTAGGTTACAAATGCGCCCTAACACTACCCCAAAACGACATTTCGTTCCCAATTGGCCCTCTATCAATGAATGACCTGTGTTGCCTGTACAGCGAGGCATTTTGGGAAGGAGAAAACCGGCCGGAATGCTTTAGGTTTATCAATAACGAAGATAAACATGGTCTGAGTTACACACCGGTAATCTTTGAGTTGACTCTTTTAAAATCATTGTAAATATGACTGTTATTCGTTTTGAAATAACTCCTGTAATACTTTGCAATTGCTCGAATCCGAGCAACATGTACACTAGTTGTAATAATTACGCCAACCCAAATTCAAATAGTAACTATTTCATTTCAACCGAGTAAGTAAATGTTTGTGGCAAACTAATATTAGCAAACTTATTGACTGTTTACAATTAACATATGTTCTTCTCTTCACTTTTAATTTCTGACAACAGCTGGAGTTTCATAACAATATTTGTTTCCCATGTTAATCTTATGGAGAAATACGAAACTTTAAAGGGCTCCAGGGCCTCAACCTCTCATTATTTCCCTAAAATGAAAGTTTCCTGCACAACTTCAGGTTACCCTCTTTCCAATGACACCAAAAACATGTCAATCGGTTCAGTAGTTTCGGAGGAGTAATTGTCACAAAAATCCTGCTTGCGTATTAAATAAGTACGAGGTGTTAGCCCGTCCTACGTACAGGAATTCAGTAGTCAGTTAAAACCGTGTACAATTCAGATCAGCTAGTTTAAAAAAGACAAAGTTTCTTGCAGTTTTAATGTGAAAAATCATCTTTAAACAAATGTTGTGCCACCAAATATGTTTTTATGCATTTTAAATCCGATAATTTTACAATAAAACAGCAATTCTGCAATTTTTACGATGTGAAAAACGTTGAAGTGAGATTTGCAGCCGATTCGCACAGACGCACACTGATTATAAGTAGCATACAGTAGAGAGAGTAATAGCTTTGACTATTAATACAACACTTCTTTATCTTATACAACTTCTGTATCCAATAGTCAAAGGTAATAGTCAATTGAGAAGTGTATAGACCTAGTCAACGATACTACCTTCTATAGCATACCTGCCTCTTCTATAATTATTATCACCACAATGCCACAATACAACTAACTTACTATACACAATTTCCAGTAGGTCTGAATAGAAACGACCTAATATAAAACGATAATATCAAATAAAATTCATAGTACACATAATTTAACTTTGGTGTCCTAACATCAAACTAATCGTCACACCTATCCTTTGTATCAATTTCACTGCATTAATTACTAAATAAATAAGTCTAAACAAAGAAAAGTAAAAACAATAACAATTTGTTTTGAAACAGCTGTTTGGTTCAAATAACATTCATTTGAAAAAAAGAACTGGTCATATGTAGCAGGAATATAAAAAGTAAACACGCTAGTAAAGCTAATGATGTAATTGTCAATGTTTATTATCCATACCGTTATAACTTCTATCCTTGATAATTACCCACCCTCATTGAATAAATGTACATCGTAATTTCCCATATTAGTTAATTTAAACTACAATATATTCATAGTTTAAATAAAAGTGATATTTTCACGTTTGGGGGCGCTGATATAGGCACCCCCAAACGTAACCACAACTCAACACGATTTCATAAAACATGTAAACATTGTTATTTTTCTATTCTTTCCTTGAAAAGTGGAGCAGTAAAATAATTTGCATTTATCCTTTTTTATTAGGCTCGTGTACAGAGCCTCAATTTGTACTGTGGTTTAATTAATTTTGGTCCAAACTATTTTAAACTGTGGTCTAATTATCTCTACTAATCTGACTTATTTCCTATAATCAATGAAGAAATAAGAGTAAATAAAATAACCTCATAGTTCCATAGTTTATATTTAACCAGCTGTTAGTTAAAACAAATTATATTGCTCTAAAACAAATCAAGATTACAAAGATTGCTTTAAAAAATATTTTGAACATCCTAGTATTTTACTATGTATATTTAATTAATCCTGTCATCCTCTTAAAGAAGAATTGAACGTAACAATGATTAGCATTACACATAGTATAAATAAGTCAACGCTAAGTATGTCTTTACATTTTTATCCAAATGCTGAATTTGTGACACAAAAGCTGAATGTTTACAGCTGTTATATTAAGCAAATTATTTTATGCCGAAAGCTAGTTTAGAATCTTAGCGTCGGCTGCTAGACTTTTTAAAAATTAAAACTTAATTTATAAAAAACTGGGACCCAAAACTAAAATTATGGCTTCGACATTCCCTAGTTCTCAAAATTATCTTTCTTTCAACACAAAAAT